CACCTCTCCAGCCCAAAAGTGTCTGTGTTTGATGATACTTGCAGAGGGCGTAGTGCCTGGACCAACCAAGAGGAGCATCTCTGATGGTCACATGGCACAGGTGTGTGACCAGAGGAGCCTTTCCATGCCAATCATAGAATAATGTTCCCAGGTATTTCATCAAGTGCTCTGAGACACACTCACTTTGGTCCACAGGACATTGTATCTTCTCCAGGGTCTTGAGCATGGCAACCATATAGAAAACAGCTGTCTGTTGGACTGTTGCTGTGGTAACATTATTAAAGCAGTTTGGAAGTAAGATGAAAAGATGACCCTCTAAGTAAAGCGTTTGCCACGTTTTTCTGTTTGTTTAAATGAAAAGACAGGAAAGTGAGATAAAAGTCTCTTAAAACCTTTGAAAGAATTGTTCTGTGGTGGGTTAGCCACCAGAGAAGACTGCTCAGACTTGGGTTCAAGGCAATAGGAAGTCTTTATTAGCTGGCCAGTAGCTACACTGGGTGTTCATGAACCGCATATATCGGGGTGTGCTTTTAGCACAACAGTCATGTCCTGGATTGACACACCTCGGTTAGCAAGAACAGTTAACAGAAGCAGAACTGGAGAAGCCAACAAGCAAGGTTAGTACATGTAGGAACTTTTTCAGAACTATGGATTTGATGGATTAGGTTTTGCTCTTGTTTTGGCAAGTGTTGCTTTCTACCTGCTGGATTAAAGGCCTGAATGGTACTTCCATCAGGGCGTCAGTTGTGCTGTGGGCTTGTTATGATTCAGACGTGCTACGGCTTTTAAAGTTGCCTCCTTGTTCCCAATAGGAAGTAGAGAACATGAGTAAGGCCCCCAATTCTGTTCAGTTTGGTGCTCTGAATGTAAGTGCTGTGTTTTATATGTTGTTTAGAGAAAAACCAATCAAATGAACATTTCTAGAACTTTTCAGGACTAGCCTGAAAACTCAAGAGGTCAGTGATTCTCCTATATTTTCCTAAGGAAAAGACACACCTTCCCACACTGACACCCACCCATCACAGCACACAAAACAACAACCAAACAAAAAACTATCCAGGCTCAAAGAAATTTTCTGCCCTCCTTTTCCCTCCCTCCCTCCCATCCTCTCTCTCTCTTTCTTTCTTCCTTTCTTCCTTCTTTCCTCCTTCCTTTTTTCCTTCCCTCCTTCTCTGCAGTTTTTTTTTTAATCCTCTCCCCAGGTAAGGGTCTAACTCAAGCCTTGCATATAGTAGGCAAGAGCTCAACCACTGAGTTCACCAGAACCCTTTCACCTTAAAAATTCCTTTTATTTATCTAACTCTTGGAATGCAAAATTATTTCTTTTGTACAAAGTCATGTGCCATGTATTACTAGTCTGCTATAACAAAGGAAAAATGGTGGGATGACTTAAACAAAAAGTGTATTTCTACCTCTTGTGCCCTGCAGGATTTACAGGAATGAATATTCCACAGAGTTCTTCAGGGTTCCCCGCTGTCTTTTTCTGCTTTCTCCATCAGCCATTAAAAACTGTCTTCAGGTGGCTTATCTCAGGGTTTCTACTGCTATGTAAAACACCAGTGGACAACTCTGAGGTCACTGAAGGAAGTCAAGGTAGGACCTAGTAGCAGGAACTGCAGCTCAGCCTGCTCTCTCCTGTCGCCTACCCTCTCTTTCTTCGAGACAGGGTTTCTTTGCGCAGCTTTGGAGTCTGTCCTGGAACTTGCTCTGTAGACCAGGCTGGCCTCGAACTCACAGAGACCACCTGCCTCTGCCTCCGGATTGCTAGGATTATAGGTGTGCTCCAACACCACCCTGCTATCAGCCTGCTGCTCTTACTTCGTCCTTGAGTGCTTGTCTAGAGATTACTCAGCCCACAAGGGCTGAGCCTTCCCTCGCAATCGGCAAGAAAAAAAAATGCCGCACAGGCTTGACGACAGTGCCATCTTGTGGGAGCATTTCCTCAGCTGAGGCGCTCTTCCCAAATGACTCAGTAATCAGAAATGCAAATGAAAATCTTGCGATTCCATCTTACCCCAGCCAGAATGGCTTTCGTAGGAAAACGGATAAGGATGAATTCTGTCAAGAACTGTAGACAGATAGGAACGTTTACACATCGCTGGTAGGAATGAAAACTAGTCCAGCCCCTACGAAAATCAGTCTGGGGGATTCTCACAGAATAAAAACTGGATCTACCACACAAAGCCTGGCTCTGCCGCTGCTCGCTGTTAACCCAGGCCAGCCCCTCGCAGAGGCTGCGCGCTCATGCTTACGGCAGCTCCAGTCTAGCGAACCAATTTAGGTGTCCAACATAGAAACTGCTTAAAAGAAAATGGGGGAGGGGGAGGGAAATTGGAGGCGGCGGTGGGGAAGAGACAGAAATCTTAAATAAATAAATAAATAAATAAATAAATAAATAAATAAATAAATAAAAAACAAAAAACAAAATGGTGGCATGCGCTCAGGGGAATTTTTCCGTCCGCTGTAAAGAAAGATCAGGTTCTGTCGTGTGTGGGGAAACGTGTGCAGCTGAAGACAGCTGTAGCCCGGGAACGGAGCCAGTCTGAGAAGGGCAGATGGCGTGTGTGTTCCCTCATCTGCGGTCCTGGGTTTTATAGACTTCCATAAGATCCTCTATGTCTCTGTACAATGAAGACACAAGTGAGAGTGTCTAGGGGACAAAGGGCACAGTGGGAAGTGGGGGGGGTCGAGAAAAGGAAGGATGTGCTCCAAGTGGACTATACCCTTGTATGAAAATTTAAAAAGCAAAATGCAAAAGCGGACATGGAGTTTCAATACATGAGTCTAAGATTGCCCGTCCAAGCCATGCAGGCCCGAGGCAGCAGCAGTCTGTCAGTAAAGGCAATGTTGGCCCTGGCATTGCTGCCACAGGCGCCTCAGTGCCGATCAGACCTGCTTTGGATGAGAAGGGACCACGGATCTATCTTTGTATACCACATAGGCTGGTGTTTTACTTTATTTTCTTTCCTGGTACCAAGGATAGAGATCGGGAGTCAGCCATTAAGCTATTCTTCTTAGACAAAGACATTTCTCTCTTGAATGTCTAGGGATTCGGGGTGCTGCAGGAGAGACCCACTCTTCTGCAGTATTATGTCTCAAAATACAATTTTATGTTATTTCAGTGAGAAATTTTTAAAAGTCATGATTAAGCAATAATATACATCCACATTTAGCCACACTTACGGAAACTCAGGCATCTGGCCTTTTACTTTAGTGTCTCATTTCACATGGAGACAAAGGCTTGAACTGTGGACAGAGCTCCCAAAGGAAATGACCAAATTTCTGTGGCTATTTCATTCTGGCCAGTAACACAGCCATCCTCAGAAAAACTAGGCTCAAGACATGTGTGGTTTAATGTTTTTCCCTTCTAGTCTCTTAGCGAGCGTTTGTTTCCACATCATGCCCTCTGTGGTGGGAGGTGGATTCTCCTGAGCCTTCATACAATGACAGGCTTTCACAATGCAGCTGGCTGACTTTCAGACCCAGCAAAGTATTGGCGTCGTTTTGGGGTGAAAGTCACGCTGTCTTGTGCAATCGTTAGAATCTGCTGAAATCAGCAGGGTGCCAATATGGAAGGCGGGGACAGGTGACCAAAACTACCATGAAGTGTATAAATGAGGAGAGGTGAAGGCCATGAGGCATTAGTGAGCATATGCCCTCTGCAGTTAGAGAGATCCAGCTTCATGCCCCGGGTATGTCTCTCTTACTCTTAAACATCTGTGTATTAATAAAAAGACACAGTGTAAGAGCATACTTGGACTTTCCTTTCTCGGTGGGCTTGACAATGTCCCATCCACCAGTAAAAGCAAGACTTTTAGGTTCTGTGTAGCCAGGCAAGCTTGTACTTGGCAGCAGCAGACACTTGCCCAGCCTGTGCCTGGAACATTCTATTTCTGAAGGACTTACTGAAGCTACTCCTGGCATCCAGAGCTCCATCTGGAAGCATGATTCAGTTCTTCAAATCTGTGCTCCTGAGAACCAACTCTGGGCTTTCAAATACAAGACATGGGTTCGCATTGGTTTTCCAACCTCAAGCCTTCTAGGAACAGCTTAGTGGGTTCCTAGAACCCAGACCTGGGCTTCCCAATAGATGGAGGAGGTGTATACTTAAGAGACTGGGAAAACAAGGTTTATCTCTACACAGAAAATTAGTTTTCAAAACTTTATCTTGACATTTGGAACCAGGAAATCTTAAAAGACAGTGCTCTGATGCCAATGCAAGTTTTCTGTGATACTGGGCTTGAATTATGTAAGGACCGAGGATTTTGGAATTCGGAACTGCTAAAGGCCTTGAACTTGCCCCACACCGCAGCAGGAACTTCCCTGTACCTTAGTTGTCAGAGGTCATACACATCAGCATTTCTCACAGATCAGCCTGTAGATCACAGTCCCTTTGGGGGCCGAAGGACCCTTTCACAGGGATTGCTTAAGACCATTGGGAACATCAGATATTTATATTATGATTCATTACAATAGCAAAATTACAGTTATGAAACATCAATGAAAATAATGTTATGGTTGGGGTCACCACAACGTGGGGCACTGCATTGAAGGGCTGCAGCATAAGGAAGGTTGAGAATCGCTGGTACATATGGTCTTTCCTGGTCAGAAAGGCGAGGATCCCTTCTAGTTTTTCTCCTAGGGTGGCCCCTCATCATTCCTGCTGAAATAGTGAACCACACAGCCTCACATTTAGTTCCACACAATAAGCAGGAGTACGATGCGAGAGTTAGTGTCGTCGACTTATCAAGGCAAACTTACGGGACAGGGAGGTCTCCTGATCCCGGAACAATTCGTTTTACTTGAGGATGTTTCTCGTTACATCTGGAGACATCTTGTTTTTATTGTTGTCCTTACCCTTGCCCCATCTTTTCTGGAAGAGCACAGCCAGAGCCTGGGCACATGAGAACTTGACTGAAGCTCTACTTGGCTTCCCAAACCCAAGTGGGATTAAACTGGGTTCCCTGAGGTGGAGACTCAAGGCAGCTGCCAGGGGCAAGGGGCACTGCTCACTGGCTGCTGTCCCTCGCCAGACTGGCCAATGGTGAAATGGGGACAGCCTGTCCCCATGAGTACCGGTTTCACTCATAAGGCCAGGCCATTTTCTCCTCATTTTCATCTGTACGATAGCCAGTAGATCTGACTACACCAGAAGGTAAGAATAGTTCTACTTAATTCCTGGTTGCGTGCATATAAATGCCAATTCTGGCTGGGCTGTGTTCAGATTTTGCTTTCCACAGGAGTGTAAGGATGGATGTAGAGGAAACTCAGACCAAAGAAGCACCATCTGGGTCAGATAGGCACTGGGCTCTTCATCTATTGTTCAGAGTTCTAAGAGAGAATTATCTCTTTTGGTCCAAATGCTTTAGACTATCGTGAACTTTGCTCAGTACATTTGATAGCAAGGTGCTCACTGAGAAAAAAACTTGGAGTTAGTGAGGTGGGAGGCTTCATCCACAGATGCAATTCTGATGGAAAAAGGGATATCTCGCCTCACCACTTTATGAGTTAAGATGATAAAGAAGCAGGCAGAGAGACAGCTTGGGGAAGCCATGTTGAGTTCTGAAGTCGGACGAGTTTAGAATCCATTTCTACTGCTTAGCTCTACTCAGCAGAAACGAGCAGAGTAGATGCCATAGAACAGTCAGGACTGAGGGGAAGAAACAGATGTGGTCTTGCTGTTGTTTGAAGAGCTGGGTACATCAGTCAGCATGAGCCATTAAGGATGCGTGAGGGGACTGGGTGACACTAAGAGGTCTGGAATATAGTGGCAATCTGGATAGAAAGCCATATTTTGAAAGATGTTTTCTGACAGAAACTTTGGGCCTGCTTGGTCTTTGCCAAACCCAATTCTTGTCCCAGTGAACATGGCACCGGAACCCTGGTGGTAGACGGGTGAAGTGGGGAGGATTGGGAAGTTCAGGGAGCCTCTTGTGTGTCATGAGATGTAAGTCCCCTTATCTGGAGAATTTTTTTTTCAGACAAGGGCACAACCATCTCACTCCTTGTGACTCCGTTAAAAATGAGGGCAAATAAATTTGGTCAGATGGATTTTGGGAGCAAGAGGGCTAGCGGAAGAGGTCGAGTGTAGCTTGGTTCTTGGAGCACTTTGGTTCCCAAAGCTTAACAAGAGATCCTTGATGCATCCGTCCCCATGTCTTGAGAAATCCTAAGAGACACTTCTTAGGCTTGCTTCTTGTCTTGAGCACATGAACATGTGTGCAATTGCACATGGAAGCCAGAGGCGTCTTTCTTAACTTCCACTTTATTTTTTGACAGGAGAGACAAGGTCTCTTACTGAACCTGGAGCTCGATAAAGAAGGCCAGACTCACTGGTCGTGGAGCTCCAGGGAGGCTCCTGTCTCTGTCATCTCATCCCCACCCCAGTGTTGGGGTTAAAGGTGACAGTCTTTGACATAAGTTCTGGGCATCAAAACTCAGGTCGTCATGGTTACACAGAAAGTACTCTATCAACTTCATCTCCTGAGACCTCAAAATCTCATTTGTGTATTTGTGTGTGTGTGCGCTCGTGTGTGTGTGTGTCTGTGTGTATGTGTGTGCATGTGTGTGTGTATGTGTGCGTGCATGTGTATGCATATGTGTGCATGTGTGTTTGAATCTGTGTTTGAATGTGTGTGTTTATGTAAGGACATGAGAATGTAAACAACCCTCCTAAAGCCGAGTGAACGCTTCCAGATAATCGTTTTAGGAACTAGACAGAAGCCACTCAGCTCCTGGCCCTGCCGTTTATGATCAGGTTGCACTATTGTGAAATTGACAATATTAACCCATCTTATGTCTTTTATTTATTCTTTTGTGGTAATGAGGATGGAATTTAGGGTTTCACAGAGGCTAAATGAGGGTTTACCATTGAGTTCTAGCCTCGGTTACCACTATTGATCTTTAAGAATGGCTATTTCATGTCATTCCACCCAAAGACTGCATGATCTTTTTGTTGTTTTTGGTTTTTGAGACAGGATTTCCCCCTGTACCTCTGGTGTCCTGGAACTCACTCTGTAGACCAGGTTGGCCTCGAACTCAGAGATCCACCTGCCCTTGTCTCCTGAGTGCTGGGATTAAAGCCACGTGCCACCACCACCACCCTGCTAAGACTGCATGATCTTAAGATAACATCTTGGCTTTTTCAAGTCTCAGATTCTCCTGTTTAGCACAGTGAAAAGCAAGTATTGGTATAGGAAGGTTAAATGAGATAAAGTCTAAAAGTACTTTGTAGTGGTTGTAGTGGAGCACACCTTTAAACCCAACATTAAGGAGGCAGAGGCAGGGGGATTTCTATGAGTTCAAGGCCAGTTTGGTCTCCATTGAGAGTTTCAGGACAACCAGGGCAACATAGGAGACCCCTGTTTCATAAAACAAAAAGAAGTACCTTATGCAAATTCTACTGCACAGACTTGTCACCACTATCAAAGTGTACTCGAGTTCCTCATCTCACAGGAGTCCACTGAGCAGGTTAGGACACTGGGCCCAAGACCTGGGGATCATTTTAGAGGCAGTGCTGCAAGCCATGATGGTTTCTAAGTCCGAAATCTCTCAATGCTCATTTTCCTACTTTCTCAACTTTCCCATTTTGTGCACTTATGTTCCTTCCTTGTTTCATGAAGGTGAAAATAACCAACATGTCCAACCTTCTAGCATGGAGCCGTCCCAAGAGGACGTACGAGGTGCATCCCCAGCCTTTCAGTTTCTAAAACCAATGGTGGGAGGACTCTTGGGGTCCCTCTTGGCTCTGGCATTTCTCGTAGCCTTTGTTGCCTTTGTTGGCCGGCGCTGAAATCATATTTAGTGACCTCTTCTCTCAATGTAACCATCTCTGCTAGTCCCACAGGAAAGCCCAACTTTGTGTTTCTCAAGATTCTTCTGTTGTTACTGAAATGCTAATGGGTCAAAGTGGGATTTCACATCTATTTCACTATAGTGTGGTCCTTTAGGGTCCCTGGAACACGGAAACCATCCTTTTTATAATTCCCATGGAGTTTGCCGGCGAGGCAACTATAGGGAAGGCCAGTATGGTGATCTGGTTCTACTTTGCTTCTTATGATTAGGCGGAAATGACTGAACCTTTCTGGCCCCCAGATGTCTCACATGGAGCCCTCCCTCCAGGTGCTGTGTGGGTGAAATAAAATGCCAGCCTTCCAGAGCACACTGGTCTGCTTCCATTGTCTCATTTATGAGTGTAGCAGATCATAAGATTATAAAACACTCCCTACTTTCTGCCAACTGGGTCTCATGATCATATGTCTAGGCAAAGAGCATAAAGGCAGAGAGGAAGACGTGGGCAGAACAAGGAGGGGGCTAACTGAGAAGCCAGCTCACATGATTTGCAATCTTCTGTCTCTCACGTCTCCCCTCCACGGAGAGGGGTACTAAAAGGCAGGGTACTTGACTTTAGTACTCTCTTGACTGTGTCGGAGAGTCTGTTACTAGGTCAGGGCTCGACTTCCAGCTCTTCTGTGTTTAGCTCTAGCATCTTGGACATCACCCAAGCACTCAGAAGCCCCCTCTCCTCACCCCTAAATCAGTGCAGACATAACTGACAGCCATTGCTCACCAGCTTATTCCAGACGCTCTGGGAAGCATGATCTGCCACTTGTCATTTAGTCTCCAACAAACACGTAAAGGGTGAGAACTGGCTATTTGCTGGTTGTCTGTACCTGAGTGCATGTCTCCCTGAGGACCCCGTATTGTCTCCCAAATGGTTGTGATGGTTAAATGAGATGACAGGACCAAGACTTTCCAAATGTAAAACATTATACATGATCCTCGCTGTCTAGCTTCATGGCCTATCCAAAACATTTTTTCGGTAGCATGCTCTAACCATAGATCATGTCCAGTACTCAGTTCCAGGCAATAGTGTTTCCCCCCATAGAAATAGAAATCTTTCAAAATCAAAGTGTAACAATTGCTCTGTTTATGTAAAGAACCGAAGGAATTTCAAATTTAAAAAAAAAAGATGCATTCTGTGTCCTTCAGTGATTATCCAGAGCTGACTTTCTACCCAGAATCAGGTGGAAATGAAGCCTTCTTCAATTAGGAGCTGTCCTTAGCAAATGTTTAGGGACTGGAGAGAGAGTCCAGCAGTTAACGCGGGCAGAGACATCTTGCAAAGGACCTGGTTCGCAGCTGTTGGTAACTCCAGCTCCAGGCGATCCAAGCCTTCAGCCCTCCAAGTGTGCCTGGACACAGATATATGCCCCCAGACATATTCAAATTAAAAAAAAAAAAACAAAAATAAATCTTAGAAAAAGAAACAGCCGAGGATATGTGCCGTTTGGCACCTCTGCCCCTTGCCACTCTCGGGGATCCCGGAACAGCTGCCCCTGTGAGTAGAGAAAAGTGCTGGGTACACAGAGGCCTTGGGGAAGAATGTGTTCTTTTAGGTGAGAAAGGATGCTGATTTCTTCAGCAGAAAGGGAGAACCAGAAAACTCTAGGGGTCTGTCTTTGCCTCCCTTCCCAACATTTAGGTAAGTCCTGGGCTACCCTTTATCCAGAGGGTTCTCCTTAACTACCGGCATTAGTCCACAAGAATTCTGGATTCTTTCTTGTTTTCCGCTGGAAAAATTGGCACGTTATAGACTCTTACTTCTTCGCATCTGGGGGGAAGAGCAGAGTTAAATTCTCAGGAGTGTGGTTGCTGAGGCTGTAAGAAGAAAGGGCAGAGACGAAGCAAGATAGACGACATCTGTAAAGCTTCAAAGCAAGGGCTAGTGAGATCGCTCAGTGGGTAAAGGTGCCTAACCTAATGACTCCAGTTCGTTCCCCAGGACCCAATTGGGGGAAGGAGGGAGCTGACCCTCGCAAAGTGCTCTCTGACTTCCGTGGGTACATAACCACAGGCATGGGCGCAGGAACACACACACACACACACACACACACACACACACACACACACACCCCTACTGACCAACCTGCCTAGCTAGCTGACTGACGGTAATAAAAAAATTTCAGGACAAGCATTCTCCCTAAATACAAGAGGGACATCTGGGGACTTTCCTCTGGTTTTCTCTAACTTGCCTCTTTTGCTCTCGGGACTAGTCAGACCTAAAGTGCTTCATTTTCATTTCCCTGTAGCCATTGTTGAGACTATGCTTCTGAGCCCTCCATATTCAGTAGATGGCGACAAAGGCCCACAGAGACGCCGCGAGGCAGTCTGGGGGCCCGCTGGCGCTCTCTGGAAGCGGCACTTGATTCAGGCAGTTGTCTCTGGCCCTCTCCTACTACAGTAGGTTTGGAGCTAGGCTGGGTTACATGAAACACTTTCTCGAGACAGTATACTTTACAACAAAACCAAAAAAAGTTCAAATAAACAAAAATGCAGAAGAAACACATTGTGATGCTAGTAAGTAACCAACAGAGAACACTCACAGAGATACTTAGTGAGGGGATTAAGAGATAGCCGTTTAATAAATTATACAATTTATTAGTGACTGGAGAGTGGAAACCATTTATTCTGCTCACTGAACAACATCTTTTGGTATTACTGTTGAGACAGAATCTCACTATGTAGCTCCTACTGGACTGGCAATGCAGATATTTTAGATGATGATTATAAACACAAGAAATGACAAAACTGAAACAGTGTTTCAGGTGAAGAATGATTGTTGCTATTCTTTAAGAATAAACATATCCTTTGGAGTTAGTTACTTTCTTTCTGTAGTCTCCAATGAGTGTGTGTGAGTGTGTGTGTGGGTATTTGTGTTTGTACACACAAGTGCTCGCAAGTGTACATGTGTATATGAAAATGAGGGGGGAAAGAAGAACCAGGGAGTGAGAAGCTGTCTAGAGTTGAATGGAACAACCAGAGAAACCCAGGACAGGATCTCGGAAAGCTCCCTGTGCCTGGGCCTGTGTTCAGGATGAGGAGACTGGAAGCAGATCATCCCTGCTGCCTGTGAATGTACAATCTGGCAGCGAACTGGGTTTATGTGTAGGTGATTATGCTATGCAGTGCAAATTTCAGAGAAGGACTCTAAGTGAAGGCCTTCTGGGAGAGTAGGGACAGAGATAGTCACTGAAGGCCTTCCAGGACAGGTGAGGACTGGGGTAGCCACTGAAGAACTTCTGCGGAGGTGAGTATTAAAGGTGCAGATCTTTGGAATAGACTCCACTCAGGGATGGAGTGATGCAGGCTGATTGGATGTACTGTGTGCGTACACTTGTTGTTTCTAGGGCTCAGGATGCTGCTCCAAACTGTCCTGCTGCTCTTAGTTCTGCACTGTCATGCTGAGGTTACCACAGCTGAAGAACCAGGAGTCCCACTCCCTCCTCCCAAGGGGACTTGTGAAGGTTGGATGGCAGGCATCCCAGGACATCCTGGCCACAATGGAACACCAGGCCGTGATGGCAGAGATGGTACTCCTGGTGAGAAGGGCGAGAAAGGAGATGCAGGTATGAAGAGTTCTGGGCAGAGCGGGGCTTTGCAGAGTGTAGGTAGAGACTGCTCATTTGTTCCTGGCTGTCCAGACCTGAAATACTCACAGAGAAACTGTATTAATTACAACACTGCTAGGCCTATTAGCTCAGGCTTCTTATAAAGTAACTCTTACATCTTAAATTAACCAATTTCTATTATTTTATATTTCACCACAAGGCTCATGGTTTGTCTCCTTTGGTGGCTACATGGCATCTCTTTGACTCCGCCTACTTTCTTTCTATATCTTTTTTAGTCTAGCTATATTCTGCCCTGCTATAGGTCAAAGCAGCTTTATTCATTAACTAATAAAAGCAACACATATACAGAAAGACATACCACATCAGCAGGATATGTGATACCAGTTACTAAGCTCAGACAGGCAAAAAGCAAAACCTTTCTTATCTGGTTCATAAGCATCCCGGAGCTTGAGTTGTCCTCTTTGAGTGAGATGAGGTGGTACCTACTGAGGTATCCACGACTTCCCTCTATTTGCCTCTCCCCTCTGCCTACCCATGTCCACATTCCCAATGAATTCTTCTTCTTCTTCCCCCCTATCTACTGTCAGCCATCTGTCCTTTCTGAACACTCCTGTAGCACCTGGCAGCTTTTAGAGAATGCTTGGTTTAGTCAGGAAGACAAGTCTAATGTACAAGATTCCGGGTAGTGGTTACAAGGACAACGTGTCTTCCAACACGCCAATCAGAATGTGTGCAAAGGCTGAAGGGATGGAATACAGAAGAAGAGCACCAGAGAGGATGCAGATTCATGACCAGGCTGTGCTGAGGAGACTGGACTTGAGCCATCCCTCGAAGGACGACTCCAGAGATTAGAGGAGGGTGGACATTTGGACAGAGGGGATAGAAGGCAGCACATGGTTGGTTAGCCAGTGCACAAAGGACGGGTTGGGCAAGTTAACTGTGATGGATACTTACAGGAGACGAATTTCTGGAGGGGGGGTGTCGGTATGGAAAGGCATGAGATGAAGGAATGAATGGACGAATGAGTAGATGAATACCATCATGATCAGAACATCTTCTGACCCCATGTGACTACTACTAACTCAAAGCCTCTACCAGGCCCAATCAAGCAAAGAACAATGAGCCAGGATGAACTATCTAGCGAGAAAGTTCTCTGTATTAATCAGTTTGCTCACCTATCTTTTAATTCATTCATAACTTTAAAAACCATGGTTGGAGATGAACTTGTGGGAACCCACCGGGGTGTGTGAAGTGGAGATGACATCTTTCCTTGTCCTGACACATGGATGGTGGGTGGAGGCCCTGGAAACCACCTGGGCAGCTCTGTTCTCAGCAGTCACAGAGTTCTTCTCCCTTTCTAGGTCTTCTTGGCCCTAAGGGCGAGACAGGAGATGTTGGGGGGACTGGAGCTGAAGGGCCCCGAGGCTTTCCCGGAATCCCCGGCAGGAAAGGCGAGCCTGGAGAAGGCGCTTACGTGTATCGCTCAGCATTCAGCGTGGGGCTGGAGACCGGAGTCACGGTGCCCAATGTTCCCATCCGCTTTACTAAGATCTTCTACAACCAACAGAACCACTACGACGGCAGCACTGGGAAATTCTACTGCAACATCCCTGGGCTCTACTACTTCTCCTACCACATCACAGTGTACCTGAAGGACGTGAAGGTGGGCCTCTTCAAGAAGGACAAGGCTGTTCTCTTCACCTACGACCAGTACCAGGAAAAGAATGTGGACCAGGCTTCTGGCTCTGTGCTCCTCCACCTGGAAGTGGGCGACCAAGTCTGGCTCCAGGTGTACGGGGATGGGGATCATAACGGACTCTATGCAGACAATGTCAATGACTGTACCTTCACTGGCTTCCTCCTGTACCATGATACCAACTAACTCAGAGCTCCAGTGGCCTAAGTACCCCCAAGAATCAAGGAACAGTCAGCAGGCTTCCAGCATAGTTTGAAAGATTGGTTTTATTGTTGAGTTTGAGGGTTCTGAATATTATCCGCATGTGTACTCATTCATTCATGAAATGGCTTTATTAAAAAAAATCATTTCTGTGTTCTTAGTCCAGAAAAAGAAGCATTCCCTGGTCTCCGCAAGTTTTACATAGTAGCAATAATAGAATAAAAATAACATTTAGGGGGAAGTTTCACAATACTCTCACTAATGCTATTTTTTTGATGGAATCTTTTTTCTTTTTTTTTTTTTCACTAATGCTATTTTGTGTTCACTGTCTCTCTTGATGTTCACACAAATCCTGTGCATACTGTATATATATGAAATGCAGTATTTCCTCTTTCTACAGTTGGGGTCTTTAGGCTGAGTTTATGAATGTCTAAAGTCTTAAATGTATTAAAATAGCAGAGCTAAAAGTGGAGGCCAGAGCAGGGTCTGTTCCCACTGGAAGTGTAGGTTAAAAGGGCCAGTTCCTGTGAAAGTTGTTACTTCTCTGCCCGGCTCCACTCTGGCAAAAGAAGATCATTGCCCAAACCTCATTCAAGAGATTTATTGGGAGGGAAGAATCCAGGAGCCGGAAGGGAGCAGAGAGAACACTTTTTCTGGGGAAACCTTCCCCTAGCGGAGCAGAGTTGTTACACTCTGGGGAACCTGAGCAGAATTGTTTCACTGGGGAAACCTTTCCCTGCTACATTTACAGTGACTGAGGTATTCCTTGGCTCCCAACTGCCAGGGTACCTTTCTATCCAAGTTGCATGGCTTACTGGAAAGTACCATTTTTCAAAACCACATGGTTGTTTGGAGTGTTGGTAGAGGTCTCTTGACCACCTCATTTGAGGGTCCATTAAGACTTCTCCTCAATAGAGCTTTCTCAGAGAAGATGGTCCTATGTCCAGGTCCTATTCCAGCTGGATGGACACTCATTGAGTCCTTCCCCACTCTGCCATCTGCTTCTCTGCATCTGTGCTCATACCCTTTCTTCCAGCTAGGTAAATCCCTTCCACCTCCACCTGTGGGTTGTTCCCTGTCCCTCCAGGCTGCTGGGATAGGAGATTTTCTGATGTGTCTCCTTCCACGCTGCTCTGTGTTTTTCCACAGATGAAAATCTCTGTGTGAGATGTGTTCTCCTTAGCCTAGGAGCAATTTCTTGTTAAAGCTGACCTCCCTAAGCTGGGCAGTGGTGGTGGTGGTGGTGCATGCCTTTAATCCTAGCCCTCAGGAGGCAGAAGCAGGAGGATTGGGCTAACCTGTGAGTTCGAGGCCAACATAGTCTACAAGAGCTAGTTCCAGGACAGGCTCCAACACTACAGAGAAACCCTGTCTCGAAAAACCAAAGCAAAGCAAAGCAAAGCAAACCAAACCAAACAAAACCAAAGCAAACAAAACAAAACAAAACAACAACAACAAAAAAAACCTGAACTTCCCACCCCAGAATCCTCCGAAGGTCCTTGACAATTGCTTAAAAGCAAGCAGTCTCCTGAATACCATTGCTGTAAGTGGAGACTGCATTTTTGGTTCCTCGCCACCCAGACTTGAATAATCACACAAAACTATATTATTTACAACACTCTTTGACTGATAGCTCAGGCATATTCCTACCTAGCTCTTATGTTTTAAATTGACCCATTTCTATTAATCTGTGTATCACCACGAGGCTGTGACTTACCTACAGTAAGGTTCTTGCATCTTTCTCCTTTGGCAGCTACATGTCATCTCCCTGACTCCACCTTCTTTCCTTGCTAACTCTGCTTGGATTTCCTGCCTTGCTAAACTTTGTCCTGTCATAGACCAAAGTAGCTTCTTTATTAACCAATGACAATAAAACATTCACAGCTTACAAAGGGGAATCCCATGTCACATTGCTATCCATAATTTACTTCAGTTCAGTTTCTACAGTACTCATTCTTACCCAGAGATCCATCTCATTCAGAAACACTGTGATTTTAAGCCCCCAGCCCCTGTTCAAATGGACAGCTTCATCCTTTCCCGCTGAGGCGAAAGATGCCTGTGCTTTCTACAACACCCACAAAATTCTTCCTCGATTTCAGCCAGAAACACAAAGCACAGAAGAATTTGCCTCATTCTTTCCCTGAGCACTGACAGGGTAGAGGAAGAACCAGCACTCCTGAATTAATTCTTACTTTCCAAGACTTACAGGTGGGAGGGCTGGAGAGACGGCTCTGTGTTTACAAGCATTTGCTGATCTCATAGAGGACCTGGGTTCTGATGCCAGCAGCCACACTGGACACCTCATGGCTACCTATAATTTCAGTTCCAGGGATCCTATGTCCTTTTCTGGTTTCTGCAGACACTTCATGCTCATGGTGCTCTTGAATATATTCAGGCACACATACATACGCATAAAATAAACAAGTAAGCCTTAAAATACAGGTGGTTCTCTATAAGAGGCAAAGTCCTTTGCTAACTCTGCCTTAGGAGCTGTTAAATACACTTGGTTCAAGATCTTGGTTAGTGCTGGCCTTTGAAGGAGCACCTTGACACACTGCCTGGCTCTCAGTGTGTGTTGAGGATATGAACAGGCCTCCTTGGCTTCCCTGTTTTATAGTTCTATAGCCCTTTGTTCCTTCTATCTGTGAGCAGCGGGCATTTGCAGCCCCTGGGCAGCCACGTGTTACTGAAATAACCCAGAGCTCCCACATGCTACTCAAGTGCTCACCATTGAGCTGTAGCTCAAGCCCTGGATTTGGATATTTTAAAACTAATCATTAAAGCCAAGAGATGTTTGGAAATTGAAAAAAAAAACCCAAAAAACAAAAAAAAATGATGACTTCAAATGATTTTGTTTATGCTCATTAGTAAAAGTCTCTTGTATAAATTACAAAAGGCGCTACAAATGGCTCACAGTGGTAGACTTTCCCTTAGGAGGAAACTGCTTGAGTGGAGCACTTTAAAGGTTTAGGGAAAGAATAAATAGCTCTGCAAATGTGGCTTTGTTTTCAAGTTTGTGTTCTGGGTGATTCCCTTTGGTAAGGACACTGGAGGCTTGGTCTTTTAAAGTGCTCGCTTATTGTTGTTTTCTACAAGTAAAGATCCATTCCAAAATTACAAATAAAACTATATGCTGTGCACCACTTCTGTGTTTTTTCTGGAGAAGCATTTGGGGTTGAGAGAAGCATAAGCACTATGTTTCAAGTGGCTGAATACTCAACCTCAAACAAGGCCGGCAAAAATTAATATGGCACTTGACCAGGACCCAGCAAGACTATTTCTGTGCTACTTCCCTTCCCCCATGCTGGTCTCTCTAGAATAGTTAGACCTGTCTTCCTCAGTCCCTCCTTCTAGCTCACCACAGTTGCCCAGAGCCAGCATGCCCCTAGTTCAGTCTCTGCCTTTCTTCATAGAGCTGGACCCCAAATCTTCCCCCATCTGCTAGTCCAACACCCACGCAACCGACCCACTGCATCAATCTAGGACTAATTGGACATGAACCTAGAGATTCAACAAGTACTTCTGGTCTAGGATTAGTGACAGTGTGGAGCCTAAAATTCAGAATGACCCAAAACCAAGCATCATTCTGGTCAAACCTGTCAGATTGGGGCAAGAGCAACCAAAGAACCAAACATCCACCCAACAAAAGTAAGATAAGATATTTACACCGAGAAATACCATAGATGCCATGGTTGCAGATGCCCATTCCTAGTGAAAAGGCAAAAATGTGAATAGTCAAGACAGTATGCCTTCTCCAGAAGCCCACAACTCCATTGTGATATTCCCTGAGAAAACCAATTTATTCAAATCACAAGACAGTGATTTCAAAATAGCAATTATAAATTTGTTCAAGGACTTAAAGGGATGTGAATAAATCCCCTACTGAAGGCTATAAGTGTACAAACAGTTGAATTAAATGAGGAAAATCATTTAAGAAATGAAAGCAGAATTTAGCAAAAAAAAAATAGAATCACTAAATAAAAACCAAATGAAATAAAAAAAATGGAAACCTCAACAGATTAAAAGACATGGAAGAGAGCATTTCAGGTTTTGAGGATAGAGCAGAAAAAATAGATCAGTAAGAGAAAATGCTAAATCTAAAATAAATTCCAGGCACAAAACATCCAGGAAATCTGGGACACTGTGAAAAGACAAAACCTACAAATTAGTTATAGAGGAAGGAAAAGAAAATCAGATCAAAGATATAAAAATATTTCAAATAAAATCATAGATTTTTTTTTTTGCCAATCTAAAGAAAGAAATGTTCAGCAAGGGGCAAGAGGCACACAGAACACCAAATAGACAAGACCAGACAAGAAAGTCCCCAGGACACATACTAAACAAAACAATGTGCAGAACAAAGAAAGGATACTGGGCTGGAGAGATGTCTCAGAGGTTAAAAGAACTGACTGCTGTTCTGAAGGTCCTGAGTTCAATTCCCAGCAACCACATGATGGCTCACACCCATCTATAATTAGATCTGGTGCCAAGAACACTATATACATAATAAATAAATTTAAAAAAAAAAGAAAGGATACTAAAAGCTGCAAGAGTAAAAGACTAACTCACATAGGAAGAAGACCCATTAGAATAACACCTGCCTTTTCAGTGGAGTCTCTAAAAGCCAAAAGGCCTGCATGGATGTTCTACAACCTCTGAAAGGCCATAGATACCAACCAAGACTATTATACCCAGAAATACTATCAATCATAACCAAGGGAGAAAGAAAAAACATCTCATGATAGAAACAAATTTAAACAATTTTTAAAATCAACCCAGTTCTACAGAAGACACTAGAAGGAAAATATTAGTATGAAGAGAGGTTAAACACACCCAAGAGGACACAGGGATAAATAATCCCAGGATAGTTAATTGACAGATAAAAGAAAAAATACTACCATAACAAAATAGTAAGAATTAATAAACCCCGCTGAATAATAACTAGCAATGTTGATGGCATCTATTACCCCCCAAAGACACAACTAGCCTTCTGAACTAAAAAACAGAATTTATCTTTCTGTTGCATTCAAGAAACACACCTCACAAATAGGGACAAACCTTACCTTAGAATAAAACGATGGAAAAGGGTGTTCTAAGAAAATAGAACCAAGAAGCAAGCAGGTGTAGCTGTTGTAATACCTAGTAGAGTAGTCTCCAAACAAAAACCAATCAGGAGAGATGGGGAAGGACCCTATGTATTCCTTGAAAAAAAAATCCACCAAGATAATATACTTTTAAACATTCATGTGCCAACACAAGGGCATCCAAGTTAAAAAAAAAAACATTACTACATTTAAGATTACATATTAACCCTAACAAGTGATAGTGACTTCAGTATCCCACTTTTGCCAATGGACAGGGAATCCAGACAAAAACTAGACAGAGAAATGATGCAGTTAAATCACATCATAAATTAAATGGACCGAACAGACATTTACAGAGCATTCCACCCAAAGCTAAAGAATACATTTTATTCTCAGCATACCATAGAACTTTCTCCAAAATTGACCATGTATTGGTGAACAAAGCAAGACTTCACAGAGGAAAACTAAAGCCACACCCTGCATCTTCTCTGACTAGCAGAGGTCAAAGGTGGACACCAGCAACAGAAACTGCAGTAATCTCATGAACTCGTGTACACTAAAGAACTCACTACTAGAAGAAAACTGAGTTAAGGTAGAAATAAGGAAATTAAAAACTTTTTTAGAATTGAATGAAAAAAACATATCTAACACAATGGGGCATATGGAGGCAGTTCTAAAAGAAAAATTCATAGCACTAAATGCCTACATAAAAAAATTGGAGACATAAAAAAAATTGGAGACATAGTATAACTTATCATAAAATAATAACACACTTGAAGGCTCTAGAAAAGTAAGAAGAAATAATACCTCAAAAAGAGTAGACAGGAAGAAATCAATTTAGGGCTGAAGTCAATGAATATAAACAAGCCAACAAAATCACAAAGAATCAACGAAGAGCTGTTTTTTTTTTTTTTGAGAAAATCAACAAGATTTGCAAGCCTTTAGTCAAATTAGCAAAAATATATAGGGAAGATCCAAATTAACAAAATTAGAGATAAAAAAGGGAGACATTACAGCAGCTATCAAAAAATTACAGAGACCCATAAAGGCATACTCTAAAAACCTGTATTATACCAAACGAAAATAAAAAAGAAATGGATAAATTTCTTGATATGTGACCTAAAAAGCTAAACCAAGAGAAAACAAACAAAATAGGCCTATAATCCCGAGTGAAATAGAAGAAGTTATTAAAATCTCCCTCCCCGCAAAAGGCCCAGGGCCAGATGGATTCCTCCCAGAATTCTACCAGACTTTCAAAGAACTGACACTAACATGCCTCCGATTATTCCACAAAATAGAAACTGAAGAATTATCCTGGTACCCAAGCCACACAAAGACTTGGCAAAAGATTATCCAATATCCCTTATGAACATAGATGCAAAAAAAATCTCAATAAAATCCTTGCAAACTAAATTCAATAACACATAAAAAAACACCCATGATAAAGTTGGCTTCATGCCAGAGATGCAGGGATGGTTCATTTATTGATGCAAATCAATAAATATAATTGACTGCACAAATAAACTGAAAGACAAAACCCCCATGATCATCCCATTAGATGCAGAAAAAGCCTTTGACAAAATCCAACACCCTTTTATGATAAAAATTCCTGGAAATCCTAGGAATATAAGGGCCATACTTCAACATAATAAAGACAATTTACAGCATGCCCACAGCCAGTATCATCCTAAATAGAGAGAAATTAAAACATTTTTGTTAAATTAGGAACTATACAAGGGAGTCCACTCTCTCTATACCTATGCAATACAATACTTGTAGTCCTAGCTTGAGCAATAAGACAACTGAAGTAGATCACAGGAATACAAATAGAAAAAGAAGTCAAAGTATTCTTACTTGCAGATGACATGATTTTATACATAAATAACCCTAAAAACTCCACCGGGGAAACTTTAACAGCTGATAAATACTTTCAGCAAACCAGCAGGATATAAAACTAACACACAAAAATCAGTAGTCTTCCTTTATACAAATGGCAAACAGATGGAGAAAGATTGGGGGAAAATACCTTTCACAAAAGCCTAAAATAAAAAGAAAACAAAATTTAACTTTAACCAAGCAAGAGAAAGTCTTGTAGATTAAAATCCAAGAAATCGTAGATCATAAGATATGAAGATCTCCCATGTTCATAGATTGGTATGATTAATGCTGCAAAAATGGCCATCCTACCAAAAAGCAATCTACAAAATTAATGCAATCCCTTCCAAAATCACAAATTTTCACAGAAATTGAAAAAAATTAAACTCTGTATAGAAATGCAAAACACCCAAGATAGGGCTGGAGAGATGGCTCAGCAGTTAAGAGCATCGACAGATTTTTCAGAGGATCTGGGTTCAGTTCCCAGCACCCACATTATGGCAGGTCACAGCTGTCTGTGACTCCAGTTCTAAGAGACCCAACACCCATGGCAAAACACCAACGGACATAAAATAAAAATAAATAAGAAATTTAAAGAAGAAAAAAACACCCAAGATAGCTTTTAAAAATTCTGAATAATAGAGGAATTGCTGGAGGTATCACAATCCCAGATTTTAAGTGGTCTTGCAGAGATATGGTAATAAAAAGCATCATGACATTGTCTTAAACACAGACACATTGCTCAATGGAATAGAATCAAAGACCTGGAGATGATTCTACACACCTACAGAGAGCCGAGGTTTTTTTTTAATTTATTTATTAAAGATTTCTGTCTCTTCCCCACCTCCGCCTCCCCTTTCCCTCCCCAGAGAGCCGAGTTTTGACAAAGAAGCCAAAAATATACACTGGAGAAAAGGCAACATCTTCAAGAAATGGTGCTGGTCAAACTTTATGACTACATGTTGAAGAATACAAAAAGATCCATATTCATTTCCCTGCATAAATATTACCCTTCAATTCCAAATGGATTAAGGACCTCAACATAAGACCAGGTACTCAGAATCTGATAAAAGAGAAAGTGGAGAATAGCCTTGAACTCATCGGCACAGGAAAGATTTTCTGAACAAGAAACTGACAGCACAGACACTGAGATCAACAATTAATGAATGAGAACTGTGAAAGGT